TGGAGGCACTGCATGGCAGTGGTTCCACTCCTATCTCAACAGCCAATTTCAGAAGGTGGTGCTAAGGGACTACGGCTCTGCGCCATGGCAGTTATGCCATGGAGTTCCGCAGGGGTCCATTTTGTCCCCTTTGCTATTTAACATCTACATGAAACCGCTGGGAGAGGTCATCAGGAGGTGTGGGCTGCGGAATCATCAGTACGCTGATGATACCCAGCTCTACCTCTCATTTTCCACCAATCCAGGTGAGGCAGTGGCTGTGCTGAACCGGTGCCTGGCCGAGGTAATGGGCTGGATGAGGGCCAATAAACTGAAGCTCAATCCAGACAAGACGGAGGTCCTGTTGGTGGGTGGCTCGGGCCTCAGGATGAGGGACTTGGGCCTTGTTCTAAATGGGGTTGCACTCCCTCTGAGGGACAGGGTTCGCAGCTTGGGAGTGCTCCTCGACCCTGAGCTGTCTCTAGAAGCTCAGGTGACGGTGGTGGCGAGGAGCGCCTTCCTTCAGCTTCGGCTGATACATCAGCTGTGTCCCTTCCTGGAGAACCACTGCCTGGCGACAGTGACACACGCGCTGGTAACTTCCCGATTAGATTTCTGTAACGCACTCTACGTGGGGCTACCCTTGAAGATGGTCCGGATACTTCAACTGGTGCAGAATAGAGCTGCCAGATTGCTGACGGGGACTGGGCGTTGTTCTCATATAACCCCAGTACTCCGTCAGCTCCACTGGCTCCCGATTGAAGTCCGGGCCCAATTCAAGGTGTTGGTTATGACCTATAAAGGCCTAAACAGCTTGGGACCTGGATATCTAAAGGAACGCTTGCGCTCATATATGCCCTCCCGCCCCTTGAGATCAGCAACGGATGCCCTTCTCCGGGAACCCTCTGTGAATGATATTAGGAGGGTGAGTACCCGGAGGAGGGCTTTCTCTGCGGTGGCGCCCAATCAATGGAATGCGCTCCCCAGAGAGGTCCGCCTGGCGCCGTCAGTATTTGTTTTTCGGCACCAGGCTAAGACCTTTTTATTTAAAACTTATTTTAATTGCTAAATTATTGTATTTATTAGGATTTTAAATTAGCCGAGAATGCACCGGGGGGGTTTAAATGTTTTTTTTTTTTTGTGAGCCGCCCCGAGGCTTTGTTGTGATGGGGGTGGCATAGAAATGTTTTAAATAAATAAAATAAATAAATGCTCAGCATGTGGTCCAGCAGCCTTTTTCTCTCACACTTTCTGAAACCCTGAGTCTCATTGTGCTTCTTTGTAGAAGAAGCACAGAGTATGAAAATTTCAAACTTAGGATACAAACCTAGGAATATTTTAAAAGTTCTACAGCTCTCAAGATCCCCCAGCCAATGCATCCTTAAACAGATGCAGCCAAATATTTAAAAAGATATTGCAAGTCTATGGATGCAGTTTCTCATATCACACACTATGTATGGGGTTGCGTTTCATAACTGAAAACTTTTAAATGCATACCTTCCAACAGCATCTTTAGTCCTCTGAATATAACTCTTAACTAACTCTTAAAACACATTGAGGTGCTTCTACATGAGGCTTTTATTGTCCAAATACCCTGCTTGAATCATAGAATTGTAAAAGAGGGTGGATGAGGTTTCCAAACAATGGCATCTTTGATTTGTTTTCCCACTGCTGTTTCAGTCTCCTCCTCCTCTCCCTCCCAAAAACAATCCTACCATAAAGGAGCGGAAAATGAAATAGCTACATAATGACTGGGTTCAGATGTCACATTGCAACTTGTGAGGAGTTGCAGCAGCCATGGGGACCAAACTGCATTCAGGGGTTCACCATTTATTTACGTACTTAATACATTTCTATACTGCCATATTAGCCCATAGGGCTCGCTGAGTGTTTTACAACTACTATTGAAAAAACAATGTAAAATAAATAAAAACAATTTGGGAATGGTCTTGGCCTGTGTTTGTGCTGGATTAGCTTTACTCTTTATATTGTTTGTAATGCTTTTAATCTGGGTATGTGTTCAATTTTAATATTTAATCTATTCAATTATATTTTAACTTTTGTATATTTTGGGATTGTTTAATTAAATGAGTTCTCATGTTGTGAACTCCCTTGAATCCCAATCACTGGGAAGAGGTCGGATATAAACATAAAAATAAATATAAATAATAGACATATAAATATAAATTTCAAAACGGTTGCATATACCCCACAGGAGCCCCATTCTCCCTGCGAGTTAATAAAGCATTGTGGTCTGTCCTGTCAAATGATCCTCCACAGTAACTTCTGACTGCCAGAGCTAGGAGCTGTCTGTTTGGACAGACCCCAAGGCTCCAAGTTACTGCATTTTACCACTACAAAGTGTCCATGACTTGACAGCATCTGTTCTTGCTTTACAAAAAACTAGGGCTGAGACAAATTGACCCTGCAACTTACCATCCTGTTCACAGGCTGCAAAGAGGGACTTTGGGCAAACAAACTGCATATCTGACCTACATATACACAGAGATGACACCTATCAATCATATACTGGTTGCACAGAGTTAGCACAAAGACAGAGGCCTGGCTCTCAGGCTACAAAGGTCTGCAGGAGCATGACAATAATGGAGTTCAGGTTAGCATAACACTTAAGAGAAGTTGGCATACATGCAGTGGAGAGTTACAAAAGAGGAATTTAGGAGAACATACCATTGTGTGTGGGTGTCAATCTCATGGTCAGAACAAAACGCACAAGACCGTAAGGCCAAAGGAGGCAGTGCTGTATAGTGGTAAGAGTGTGGGACTGGGACTCCAGAGATCTGGGTTCTAATCGCAAGTCAGCCATGGGGCTCACTGAGTGACTGTGGACTCGTGACAGACTCTCAGCCCAACCTACCTCACAGGGTTGTTATTATGAGGATAAGATTGAGAGGAGGGGAATTATATAAGCCACCTTGAATTCCTTGAAAGGAAAAAAAGTGAAATATAAATATTATAAATAAGAAATAAAAATAAATAAGAAGCATATAGGAGACAAATGGTGGTAGAAAGGGTGGCAGTTACTGAAAGACAGAAAGAAAACAACTGATGTGGATTGGAGAAGGGATGGAGAAGTGAAAACAGGTGGCATAAAACAGATGTAATGAACTATCAGTAACTGAAGCAGATCTCTGAGCCAGGTTTGGCATTCGGCTCAAGATACCATAAGGAATACAGGAAGAGGGACAGAACTGCTCCCAGCAGGGAGTCACTGCCAATGCTAGCAAAATTTTGTAACTGGGGTATATTTAGGGTTTTATGTATTGCTACTAGGAATCACCTTTCTCTCCCTCCCTCCCTTTCTCGATCCAAATGTTATCAGAATGAGGGCAGGACGCAGTGCTTTCAACTGGACTTGTCTTCAGGCATCATAATGAACTCAATTCTTAATGGGCACATCATGAAGTTACCTTACAAGTGAAGAGAGGAAACAAGCCCCTTTTATCTGATCTGCACTCAGCTTGGTGGCTATCGATGTGTCCCAGAGGCACTCTGAGAGATGAAGGTGGCAGGAACAACTGTCAAACTTCACCCCTCAGCAAAGCAAAATCATTCTGCAGTGTTTTATTTTGCTTTGCAAGACAAGACTGATATTACCATCTGGGGGCCTTCAGGCTGTAGGTATGCTGGACTTGCACACACAGGTATGACCCTAGCGGAGTTTCTGTCTAGGTTAATATTTCTTATTCCCTTAAATAACTCTGTCCATTCTCCTTTTGCAGGCCTAATGCCTGGAATCCCCTCCTAGGACACATCTTTCTACCATTCAAATCCTTCATCCAAACTGCACTGTTATTGTGAAGTATGGTGCAAACTTCATTCCCTACTGAAACTAAGCATGCATAACTGGAGTTGTACACATTCTTCTTTTATCCTTGCCTCCCCCTCTGGAACATTTTAAATTGCAACCTATGCTTTGGAAAGGCTGATATTTCATTTTTTACTCTGTAAAGTATCACAGACATTAAATTCATAATAAAAGGAATAGCAGTAACACGTCAGAAAGCCAGGATTGCTGATTTGCTGACAAACCAAAGTTTAACTGCTTAATGTGTGAAATAGCCCTCTGATGTAATAAAAGAATGGTCCAAAGTACAAGGATACAAAAAATTAAATGTGACATGTTGTAGTTCCTACCTGAACAAAATGTACTGCCGTCAAGTTTGTCATTCTTCTACTAATTATATTTTGACACCATATTAATGTTTGACCAATCATAAGCCATCATAGTATTTACGAGATCATAATATCCACCTTTATGTAAGTGAAAGGAATGAGCATGGAATGAATGCATCAGTGGCCTGCTTGATTCAGATAGAAATCCACCTTTGCCCAGTGTGCCATATGAGGGGGACCCAAAAAACCAGGAATTATTTTCTGGACGGCAGGCCCCCTGTAGTACAGGCTTCCCCACTACGTGAGTGTTCTAGGAACCCATGTGCATCAGTGTACCCAGCTGGATTGTTGTGAGAGGCTGTGTTCAGCTTCAGTGAGGGTTTTTGAGAAGTTTTCAACATGTTTGCCTATTTCGTGATGGCCAATTTACACAAACAACATGCAGTGGTGAAACTTTGTTCAACTGAGTGCTTAGAAGTTTTTGACCAACAACAGCATGACCCTTGTGCCCCACCCTCCCTATTCAACTGATCTCGCCCCATGCAACTTTTTTTGTTTCCCCGGATGAAAAAAGTCCTCAAAGGGAAACATTTTGCCAATGTGGAAGAGGTGAAACAGAAAACAGCAGAACTAAAAGGTATCAACATTCATGTGTTCAAAACCTGTTTTGAGCAGTGAAAAATGTCTTGATGGGTGTATTGCATCAAACAGATAGTATTTTGAAGGTGACTGAAGTCTGAACATGTAAAAATAAATACATATTTTTTTATAAATAAATCCCTGGATTTTTTGGATCCCCCCTCGTATGGTAGAGAAAATAAGAAACAAGAACCAAGTCTAAAGGTAATGTTACATCAGGAACTGTTGGTTCAACATGTTGGTTTTACCTGGAATCTTGTCCTTTCTGCCGCATAGACCTGGTAGTGAAGCATGGCCTGGAGAACTTTTTTGTGGCCTCCTGGCACTAAGCAAACAGCCCCCAAGATCTCCAGCACTGCAATCTTGGTTTTTATGTTCTCAGTCCGTAAACTCTGAGAAATTATATTGATGCTTTCTGGGTGGGCCAGAACATGTGCCCGTCCCTGGGAGTTGTTCATCAGAGACTTAATGCATCCTATAACGGATGTGTGTATGCGGCTCTCTGAAGTCTCATAGTCCATACTCTTCAGGAAGTTAAGCAAACAGGTCAGGCCATCCAGCTCAATAAATCTCGTCACAAACCTGAATAGAGACAAGAGAGGAAAATAAGTTCTAGGCACCTTGTCTAAGAGGCATCAGGTTAATGGAACAAAGAACAGTGTTCTTGCATTACTTTGAAAACGCTGGGGGAACTCTGTGGAGCCATGTTTGTAGCTAAGGTTTCTTGCAAGCATTTTATGAGGGGAATCATACATACCTTATTTGAGAAAACGTTGTCTCATCTTCCTGTACTTTCTGCCAGAAGCAAGTGTGTATTATCATAATTTCAAGACTCTACATTCAAAAGTGATATAAAAAGTGATCTGAAGAACCAACAGGTTACTGTTCAAGGAAACTGCTGCAATATTTTCACATGCATCACAGATAGCCAAGTAGATTTCAGTTCCAGTAAACAAACATCATACTCCACCACTGTACTTGCAGATGGACAGTTGTTGGCTTAAAATATTGACCGTTCTGGAAATATAGGATGGAAATCATAGTCCTGGTTTTGTTGTCCTTTTTTAAGGCTAACCATTCATGAAAACCATAGATGTTTGTTTTTACTTTCTGATGGTGGAAAATGGAGGGGGGAAATTACTGTGTTGTTGCCAAGAGTTCTGAAACAAATCATCTGCAGCAGTGGTGGGAGACTGCAAAACCAGGGGCCACATGCAGTCCACCTAGGGGCCAGATTTAGCCTGCTTGAGGTCCCAGTCCAGCACTCCAGAACTCCTTAGACGCATATACCCATCCGTGTGGCCCCACCCCTTTGCCTCAGTCTAGATTTTGTGCCATTCCTAAATGGCTGAAATGGCTCTCCTAAGGCTTAATTAACTAGAAGAATTTTAAGTTATAGTAGCTGGGGATGGTGGCACTGAAGGCTTGTTATACGCGTATTTCTGGTCCTACTTCCTTTGCTTTTGGCTTTACCCATCATTGCAATACAGACCTCTAGAGCTTCTCTGAAATTGAATTTGTACTTAATGTGGCAAGAGTTCTCTGTACCCAATCTATAGAAACTTTTGTACAAAACACCATCCACTCACCCACTCATCAGCAAAACCTGGAACTTCCTTCAGTTACTAGTATATAAAAGTATAGTTGTCTTTGGCTGAATTATATTTACTAGAGCTATTTTAAAAGCAAGCACAAACCAAACAAAACCTACCCTGAATTATTACAATCCCAAGAGACCAAGGCTAAAGAGAAATTAGAATCTTGAACTCCCTTTCAGGTTATCTAGTTCCCATCTTTTGAATCTTTATCCAGCGACACTGATATAAAGGAAGGACAAAGTTCCAAGTAGGTGGCACACTACTCTTGAAAATCTTCATCAAATACATCCAAACTATACCAAATATTGTTGGAAGAGTTAATGCTAAGATTATGCTCATATTTGGTAGGAATGTTCAACTGTGCAGGTGTTTTGAAACATGGTTGCTGATTAGTACCAGAATTTCTCTATGTTAGACTACTGGTATCTCCTAAAACTATGCTTTGTTGTCTGTTTAAAACTAATAGTCCTGGATTCCCTGTTAAATGCATTCTAAAGCAATTGCAAAAAAACAAAAAACCTGCAAAGCCATCCTAGGTGCAAGTGGGACCCTACAAAGCAACCAGCTAAAGAGCAGGGGGTTGACACAATCTGGGAGACTGTATCTATTTATAAACTTACTGAGCAACTGCAGCAAGCAAGGAATCCTAATCTGAGAAAAGCTATTATGGCACTATGGTTTCCATTTTCTGTGTTGAAGGAATCCAAATTTTTTATCAAATTCCAACCAATTACAATTGCTTATATTTTTTCTGACTATTACAAACAAGCATTTGCACTCAGTTGTTATATATGATGCACAACTTTTGTTGGATAGTGAGCTTCTATTGAGGCTGTTTTAACATAGCTATTCTATAACCATATCATTGATAAACTGAGGGTTTATAAAACTTTTATCCAGCCACTTCACCAAGCCTTCTGCTTCAGGACTCTTTGTGGGATTAAAATCAGTTCCCATGCTTTCTCCTGGTGGTTTCCTTTTTTGCTTTTCACAAAGTGGTGCTGTGGTATAGCAGAATTGCAAAAAGACATGAGCATTTCATAGAGACATTTCAGAATCATGCCATACTTTCCTCACTCTTAAAATTCTACAGAAACGGTCGCAAAGCACAAGAGAAGCCCTGGAGAGAATGATATCGTTTTACATGCACCTACAAACTACCATGGGAAGGAATCGTGAATGCCCAATAAAAGCCTATAAAGAGAAGCCCCAAGAACAATAATTTGTGATTTTCTTTATTTGATCTTGTTATATTATCATAGACAGTGCCTTGTATATTCACCACCCCCCTTTTTGACTTTTCCATATTTTGTTGTGCTACAGTCTGTAACTGAAATGGATTTAACTGGTATTGTTACTATTTATTACATAGAAGATATCAATACTGTGAAGGAGCAAAATCATTTTACTGAGGCACAAAAGTTAATAAAAATAAAGTAGCTCTTGATCATTGCATAGTTATTCAACCCCTGTGCTGTCACATGCCTAAATAAGTTCTGGTATAACGCATTGCCTCCAGATGTCACATGCAGTAAGTAGCTGAATGAAGTACACCCATGCACAATTCTGGTGCCACATGATCTCAGATTAAATGCATCTTTTTCTGGAAGGCCCCAGAAACTGCCTATTATTGGGGAGCATATCTAAACAAACAACTTCATAAAAAACAAAGAAATATCAAGGGATCCAGGATAAAGTTGTGCAGGCAAACATCTATGAATGTTCCCTGGAGCAATCTTAAATCCATTATGACAACATGGAAAGAATATAGCTCAACCATGATTCTGACTAGGAGGGCCACTCATCAAAATTCAGTGACATTAGTCAGAGAAGCAACCAAGAGGCCAAGGTAATTGTAAAAAAGCCAGAGAGATCAGCAGCTGAGGGATCAGCTATGGGGCAACTACAGCGGTACCTTGGCTCATGAACTTAATCCGTTCCAGGACTCTGGTCGTGACCCAAATTGGTTGTGAGCCAAGTTAAATATCCCCATAAGGTTCAACGTAAATAAGGTTAATCCGTTCTGTAACCATTTTTTAAATCAGAAAAATGTGAATCAAAGTGATAACAACAAAGATCGCGGCCATCTCCCCCCCACCCCCAACACAAGTGCGGCCATCTCCCCACCCCCACAGCATGACCGAGATTGTGCCTGCCATTCCTGCAGGCGCCCGTCATCCCTGCAGGCACGCTGGGGGGTGGGGGGGGAGAGAGGAAGTGATCACGGGCACACTGGGGGAGGGAGAGATGGGCGCAAATGGTGCGCTGGGGGTGGGGAGATGGCCTCAATTGCAGTTCCGTTTGTGCAGGGAAGGCGTGCCTGATCAGAGATGCACTGCTGCAGGAAAGACAGGAGCAGCAAAGCAGAGCCACAAGGGAGATGGCCGAGATTCCGCCTGTCTTTCCTGCAGCAGTGCGCCTCTGATCAGGCACGCCTTCCCTGCATGGAAGCAACTGGGATTGTGGCCATCTCCCCACTCAGGAGGAGTGGGAGATGGCTGCGATCTTGGTCGCCACCCAAAGCGGTGTTCGCAACCCAAGTCAAAAATTTTCAGAAATGTTTGTTCGTGACAGTGGTACCTCGGCTCACGAACGCCTTGGTTCACAAATGAATCAGGTCACGAACAAACATTTCTGAAAAAAGCTCAGACCACAATCCAGTTGAAAATTTGTGACAAGAGTTGAAAGTTACTCTTCACCAATGGTCTCATTCCATACTGGAGCTGGAGCTGGAGAGGTTTTTCCAGAAAGAATGGACAAAACATCGCAGGATACAGATCCATAAGCCAGTAAAGACTAATTCAACAAGACCTGCAGTTGTAATTGTTGCCAAAGGGGCTTCTACCAAGTATTGACAATCGTGTCTGTGAATTCTTCTGTAGCCAACCAGTGCCAGTTTTTACTTTTATGCCACAAGAAAACTATTTTAACCTTGTTGATTATCTTCTGCGTATCAAGTGATAACAATGCCAATTAAATGCCAATTAATGGTGGCGCAGTGGTTTAAACCGCTGGGCTGCTGGGCTGGTTGATCGAAAGGTTGCCGGTTCAAATCTGCACAACGGGGTGAGTTCCTGTTGCTCAGTCCCAGCTCCTGCAGTTCGAAAGCATGCAAATGCAAGTAGATAAAAAGGTACCACTTTGGTGGGCAGGTAACAGCGTTCCATGTACTTCGGTGTTTAGTCATGCCGGCCACATGACCACGGAGACTGTCTGCGGACAAACGCTGGCTCCCTCGGCTAGGAAACGGAGATGAGCACCGCCCCCTAGAGTCAGGCATGACTGGACTTCACGTCAAGGGGAAACCTTTACCTTTACTTTACCTTTAATGACTGTTCTATTGTTGGTTGGTGTATTTGTTGTTCTTATTGTTATGACTGGTTTTATAACAATTGTTGATTTTATTGATTATGTTGTAAGCCACCCAGTGAGCCTTATGACCAATAGGGTGTCACATTAAATAAATAAATAAATAAATAAATAAATGTAAATTCCATGTTGCAACACAACAAAAGGTACAAGCCAAACTGGGCCTTCCGCAGGGCACTGTAAATTCGTATTTTTGCTGCTTTTAGTTTTATTAATCAAAGTGCTCTTCAGTGGTACCACTGAAGCTTCTAATGGCTCTTGAGGGAATCACATTTCTGAATGGTTCTCTGCAGTGGAGAAAAGCTTGCTCACATAAAACCAGTACAAGGATTTTTTTTAAATTTTCTAGAGAGCTTTCTTAATTGTCTAGAGCGTTTCAGCTACTGGGTGGTATAGAAATTAATTAATTAAATTATGCTGGAGGTTGTTTAATTTTGGAAAGCATTTTCCCTTGCAATTCCCCACCTTCACTTTGAAGCAATACAAAATCTAGGAACAGCTTTAACACATGCTGTTTGCATAGCCTAGTTCTAGGCTTGTAGCAAAAGATTCCAAGATGGAAGATGTATGTGTCATTTATTATTACAAACACCACAACCAAGCAAATATACAAAC